TACCGGTATCACCAGCACGTAAATCCATGGCCTGTATGCAAGGGGTGACACCCTCCAATACGTACATCCTGCTGTTGTTATTAGGCCAAAATCTGAACTGAAAAGTCCATTCATTCCCTTTCACATCTTGGACCCGCAAAGGAAGGCCTTCAGAATGTGAAATATGAGGAAAATAAGCCTGTAATTCGTATACAACTTTGTAAGATGTCGAAACATGAAAAAATTATGTCTCATTAATATAAAATAAAAACTAGAGAAAAAAGTTCTAGACTCAGTGCAGAAAAAGATAAGAAGTAAAACAGAATACAAGGAATTGAAGAAAATAAAAATATAAACAAACCTCAGCACAGGCTTTTGGGAGAACTAGACGACCAATTCGACCTGCATCACTGGCACTCAACACCTTCTCAAACAAAGGCACTACAGTGGACTTCAAACTGTTATCATTACATCAAGGGAAATTTTTTGATAAATTAATGTTTTTATTACGGTCGAAGTTTAAAAAAAGTACTATGTTATCTCAAAAAGGATCGATGTTATCTCAAAAAATTATATAGATACAAATGACTAAAAAGGATACTCTCCAGACAAACGCTCCAGCTCCTGATCCGTAATCCTTGGCCAATATCTAGGAAGTAACTGATTCTTGCCCCTCCCATCAGCAGGTGGCCGGGCAATCCGTGGTTGATTAACCATCCCTTTCTCAGTTTCTACTTTCATGGTAAGGCCAGTCTTCAATGGTTTCGGCAATATAGGGCGAGTTCTTGGCCCTTGATGAAAGGGAGGAGATACTTTCCCCTCGAGTCTTCCTTCTATATTCTCTCCAACCGAAGGTGGGAAAGAGTTGCTCCCAGAAGGGTTTCCCAAACACATATTCAAAGACGGCTTCACGTTTGATTCATGCATGTTTTTAATCTCCCATGTCGGTCTATTACTTTCAAACGTTGAAAAAGTTAATGACTGAGCAGATGGTTTAATCACATTCGAAAATCCAGTATCCCCTTCCTTGAATGAAGGCTTAACTTCTTGATTGTTTTTTCCGTTACAAGTAATCGCACTTTCTCTCGGAGCATGATTCATATGGACGGATTCACTAGCTTCAACAACTCTGCATAATTGCATGAGTTTTCCTTCATCAACATTGCTCATTAACATTCTGCCATCAAAATGAGCAGAATGCATATCCCTTGCGTTACTTTGGGTCATCGAAACGGGCCAGTTAGGATTTTCAGTATTCCTCATCTGCAGCAAAATATAATATAAAAGAAGCCTATTGAGTTGTGTCATAGAATCAAACAACAGAATATCGAGATTAAACTTACCATATTAAGTTGGGAAGTATTTACGCAGCTAACACAACCTATACCACCGAAGTCAAGATACTCGAACAAAGATCTAGATACTATGCATCCACAGTGGATAGGCTGTCAAACCAAGTCAAACATATCTCAAAGACTGAAAAAGAGAAATAGAAGTTCTAAATAGAATATTTTCATCAAAAAAACATCACCTTACCTTGTTGCAAAAGTTACACTCTCGCCAACCAGTTTGATGACGGTGGAATTTATTACAGAAAACCGAATTCTCATAAGCAGATCTAGAACACACAGAGTGAAAAATGAAGATTTAATAAATGAATTATTATTGATCAAATCAAAACACATGGTAAGATTTGCTATAAATACTTATACAACTAAACATTTAATTCACAATTAAAACATTAGATCAAAAAGGAAATATATTTTCCATATTGGTATCTAAAATTACCATATTGATAAATACACTTACAATGATTCAATGATGTCACACTTCCATTCCTCCACAAATCTAACATAACAGAAAAAATCCAAAAAGTTAGTCAACTAAATACATGATTCAAAGTTCAAAAATGAAACACATAAATCAAAATCTTACTACTAACGAATAAAAACCCTTCTAATTTGGTCATCACAAATATTTCCCAAATTAGCTACATTGATCCTCATCATCAAAATTAAACAACAATAATTCAGATATTTCCCATTTCTACCCCTACCTCCACAATACACAACAATATTGTTATCATGTTATTGAGGAAAATGTGAGGTGTTTGGTTATAATAGGTGCACATAAACACAAAAACCAGAAAATCCCGGAAAGGATATAGAACCGCACATATCCAATTAGATTCTCAAAACCCCAAAAAAAGAAAAATCTGTGAAATCAAAAAACAGAATCACACAAAACAAAACCATTACCCCCAAAAATAAACAACACAACACTCTTAGAATCTAATCACCGCAAAATCAGTGAATAGGTGAAATCGAAAGAAAAAGGAAAGGAAATTATTTACCCGCACTTGATGCAGAGTTGAGTGAATCCACCAGATCGTAAAGGCCACCCTTTCTTCCATTCATGAACACACGAACCATTGACGATACCAATGTCAGAACCCATGAATCAAAATTCCAAATTTCAACTGCCAAATACCCATAAAACCAAAGTCAAAATCAAATCAAAATCGCTTTGACCCTTAATCCATGCAAACAAATTTACATAAAAAAACAACAAAGGGGCAAAAAAAAAACAAATCCAAACAAAAAAAGACAACCTTTGACTTGAATGAATCAACCCAACACAAAACCTAGTAATGGGTCGGTCGCATGAAGTAAAAAAAAAAAACACAAATTTAGTATGTGAATCTATTCAAATGTCTGCAGCATTAGATGAAGAAGAAAGTGATAGAAATGAGTGAAAGAGTAATAATGAGAATTGACCTGGGTTTTTAGAGAGAGAAAACGTGAAGAGGGTATGGGAATTGAGGGAGTCTCTGTAGAGAGAGAAAGAGAAAGAGATGAGAGAGAAAGTGTATGTGTGAGTGCATGCAAAGCAACAGATGCATAAAATGCATGCACGACAACACTTGAAGACACAAGCAACACAAACACACTTCTCATTCAACATGTACATACAATTACAAACCCCACCGCTAACCTTAATTAACTCAACGCATAACAATGCAACAACTCGTTTAATTTTTTTGAAACTTTTTTTTTTTTTACATTGAGGAGGGTGATAATGTTACCTGCGGGTTATTTTGGGTGTGAATGTGACTTGGGGAGTGGTTTTGGTTGTCTTGTTATTGAGTTCATTTGGGATTATTAGGTGAAACATGTGTTCGTGCTTGTGTTGCACATGTTGTATGTAGGTGAGGTGGCATTTTAGAACTAGAAAATGGGTTTGGGAATTATTGTTGATGTGGGTATTTGTATTGTTTTGGGTTGTTTGGTTTAGGGGGTTATTAATGATGGGTAATGGAGGAGAAGGGTTTTAGATGTGAAATATATATCATACTTAATGTTATGTCTATTCTTTTCATGCTTTCTTTTTTACGATGGCTCTATGTCTTCCTCTATGTATATCTTATACTTTCTATATCATTATTATAATCTTTTAATTTTATTGAGTAGTAGGTTCATCTATATTTATATTTAAAATTAAATATATTAATTATTTTATAAATTCTAAAAAATTATATATATTTACAATAATGATTGATTATAAATATTATAAATAAGAGTGTTTGAAATTTACATTGGATTAATTTTGAACGACAAGTTATTGATTCAAATCAAATCCATTATAACAAAGTATTAAATACATCATGTGCCTCTCACGCTGGAGAAGTTTATCCTCTAAATTTTGTTAGAGGAATTCCTCTTTCAGACCTTGTCTAAGGGACTCTCTTTTTCAATTCTCACTCGAAAAAGTATTATCACGCTGGAGAAATTTATCCTCTAAGTTTTGTTTGAGGAATTCCTCTTTCAGACCTTGTCTAAGGGACTCTCTTTTTCAATTCTCACTCGAAAAAGTATTATTGTTTATTTTAGTTTAAATCATTTCTCTTTCGAGACTTTATATTTGAGGGATTGTTGATTGAGATAACTTTGATTGGATCTTGGAAAAGACTAGATTGTGTCATATTCAACCACATAATGGCATAGGAGAGCATAAGGAAAGTCGGAGCGACCTCACATGGCAAGAACGTGAGCACGCCTGATCCATACCATTTTACTTGGACCGTGAGTCAGCCGACTCAATATTGTAGGAATCTAACTAAAGGTACCCAAAAATGTGTCATGCCATATTGCATGAGAAAAAAATATCATTTCCATAACTTTATAGAGGAAAAAATGTGTCATGTTAAAAATGTCATATTCAACATACATTCATAACAACACACATACATCCAACGGAAATGAGGTTCCAACAAATACTTTGATATTTGGAAACTTGGGCATGCTCATGTACTCAGTACAAAATGTCTAACATGTCAAAATCCTTCTTATTTATGGCATTATTAGCAAAATACATAAATATGTATATTTTATTCAAAAATAATAAGCTTTAATTAGAAAACAGTAATATAAAGCAAATATTCACAGTGTTGGTGGTTAAGGCGTGGCCACAGTCTAGTCGTCACTCTCACTTATTGTTTTTTTTACAGTTTCTTCTTCTTTTTTCACTCATGTTGAACATACGACTCCACACACTAGAGTGGGCTAATTGTTGGGGCTTCAAAAGTAATGGTTTGAAAATTTATTGCTATCATTTTTAAAGTTCAAAAACATTTTCGATAAAAACGTTTGAATAATAGCAGCGGAAAATAAATATGCAGAAATCAAAGAGATTTGGGTAAATAGATGATATTAGAAATTATAGAGGTTCAATCGAAATAAAGTGATCCAATCCTCTCCCCAAGACTTGATATTTAGAGTATCCAATAATGTGTATGAGCTTTTAGTAGGTTAAGCTTATAAACCCCCTTATACAAGGAAAAATGAAGTTTCAGACTAACTTCTAACCAAACAACGAATAATGGATGAAAGCAATTAGTCTTCCCTCCAATCACGAATGAATTCTTGACTTATTAGTCTCACGGCTTAAACTCTTGAGATTTTCTATGGAACTATCTCGAACCAAATGTGGAGTTTTGAACTGGCTATCGTTTGAATTGGGTGATGTTTTTACACGGTTTGGCCATGAATCAAACCGGTGATTTCACAAGCTAACCAAAAACTAAGTTGAGATTTTACACCAAGATGATATCAAACAAAAAGTGGAGTTTTGATAAGCTATCCTCCAAATCGAGTTGAGCTTTTACACAAGCTAAGCTCATGAACCAAATCGACGACTTAAAACTAAATCTCCAAATAAAGCTTTTAACGAATTTAGTTTTGAACCAAAACACACACTCACTTAAGGATAAATATTCAACCAAGGAAAAAAATACTCCTTTGTAAATTTCTAATAACACCAATTTCCAAAATAATAAAGACCTCACTTAAACATAATGACTTTCTCGAAGCGTTATGGTTAAATTGAAGTGAGAGAAAGTAAAAATTATTTTTAGAGAGAGTGAGGAGTGCGATAAAAAAACTCACGTTTTTTAGATGTGAAAATATGAAGGGAGGGACCTCTATTTAAAGGTGAGAGTTTGACACAAAAAGGAAAGACCCATGGGCCAAAATTAATCATCTAATAAATTGGTAACTTAGGCTAATCGATTGGATGCCCAAAATAATCATCTATAATGGATCAAATTGGAAAGAATAGATAGAGAGTCATTGCACTTAATTAAGACCCAGTCACAATTGTTTATGGACATCGTTTACACATACCCAATTGATTGTGTATATGTTCAAATCGATTGGGCAGTTCAAAACTTTGTCCAAAACATTCTGACAATTCCTAATTTAATAGGATAGACTTCAAAACATGTTTAGGTTGTTTTATTTGAGAAATAGAGACTTAAAAACATGTTTGTATTTGTGCATTTAGCTATATTACTTTACGAAAATGCTCTTGCATTTTTACAAAACACTCATACGCGACTGGGTGTGCGTTTACACTTCCTCTCTTTCATATTCTGAAGCTTTAAGACTTGTCGAATAAACCAATCATATAAGCACTTGCTTGAGTATTCTTAGAGATGAGGCTTGAGGTATCTTCAAGTTGAATGTCATCGACAGAGGATGTTTGTAGGGATCATTCAACCCTAATTTGTCTACTTTATTCAAAGGAAAGATCTTGAACAAACTATCTTATGCATCTCTGACCACTTGTCATACTTGATTGAATTTATGCTTTAAGGTATATCAAAGTGTGCGTCTTCACAGGTTGTCATCCAAGTTTTGATCATTAAAAGTACAACATCAAAGGTAAACCATAATTTCCATCTTTAACTTTGATCACCTTTTTGAATAACCTAAAAAACATGGTTCTATATTCTCCCCTTTTTTTATAATGATAACACGTCTCTTAGGGGATGGTAAAATAAAAAGATATGGGGTAAACTTGGAGTGGTTAAACTCCCCCTTAATTAAAAATAGAGTATACTTTACCCCTCTCCCCTGAGAGTATACTTTTCCCACTTTGTCATAATTAAAAAGGCAGGTAAAAGATGTATTGTGGATATTTAAATATGCACACATAGTCACATAAGAATTTAGAAAAGGGAAAACATTGAAGGTGATTGTGATACGGTGGGAGAACTGACTTGGGTGTTTTGAGTTTGATTGCAAATGTTGCGGTTAGCAAGAGTCGTCACCGGATTTTCTTTTATCCAAAAAGGAAAGGCTGAAAAGAACAGGAAAGACCTTTGAGATTATTTCTTGAGTTCGAGGGGTAGATTATGAAAAGGGAAGGTGTTAGCACCCTTTTCATCCATAGTTATCTATGGGCTCTTAGTTTCTTGCTAGATCACTTGCTTCTATTTGAAAATGTGCTTTGTGTGGTTTTTGAAAGTATTTGAAAAAGGCGCCATCTTTTAGGCAAACTTTGTAACAGTTCTCGTTCGTAAGAACGTATACAAAATGTTGAGCTTTTGAAAATGTTTCAAGTTTGAAAGATGTTTTTGAAAGTGTTGGTTTTTGTTTTGAAAATAGCAAGAATGTTTTGATTTGAAAATGAGCAAGCAACTAGGAACAATCTACCTACTCAAAAGTCTTAGTTCATTTCCTCATTTCTTTTGATATTGTTATCTTACCATTGATTTGGTAAGAAGTCCTATCTTTGGATGTAAAGGGACGGGCATGGGTCATCGTATAGCCATGATAGCAATGTTGTGAAATATCTTAGCAATTCTCTTTGAGGGACTAAGATCATTTTGAAAGGAAACTTTGATAGCGTCATCGAGGGACTATAATCATGTATTTTTTTATTGTTTTTGCTAAGATACTCCACATGCATAACATGGTCATTTTTCATAAGGCAACAAAGTGGATTTACCCTAAGGGTGTAAGTGTGCAAGTGTGTTGATTTACATGCATTATTTTGTCTTAAATTAGGGTTTGCTAACTTGTTGATTTTAATTTTTCCATACAAACCCTAATTTACTAGCATTTATATATAAAGCATTAAATTACAGAAAATAAAAATACTAAGCTATTACATCAATAGGGGAGGGTGTACAAATTTACAAATGGGGGAATTGCAAGAAAATTAAATCTGATTAATTATTACAACCATATTGAATATGTACAAATAATTGAATAAATAATATATAAAAATGGATAAATATACAAGTATGTAATGGAAAGAAAATGGATCTTTGTTTGGATTTTATGAAAGAGGCTTAACCTAATTAAGAAAATGATTAGTGAAAGTTAAATAAAACTAATTAAGAAATAAATTAAATTAAAAAGTAATTTTAGGGTTTTTTTTATGAAAGGTTTTGAATTAAAAAAAGAGTATATAAAAATTAATTAATTAAAATAAACCTAAGTTCTAAATTAATTTTAATTTACAAGAAAATAATATAATATAATAACTAAACCTAATTATCTAAATGTTAATCAAGAAAAAGAAATTAATTTATTAAGAAACTTGTTCTTGTTCTTTGTAGTTTTTATAAAGAGAAATAAAATATAAATGAGTGTAAAAATAATAAAATAAATATTTTTGGATTTTTTATTAATAATAATAATAATATTAATAATAATAATAATAAAGATAATAAAAGAAAATATGAAAGTAAAATAAAAAAATAAATAAATAAATAAATAATGGGCCAGTGGGTGCTGGAACAAGGCAGAGAGTTAGAAGCTAGCAAAAAGAAGGTTAAGCCCAACAGGAGGCCCAGGCGCTGTTTGGAAACAAAAAAAGGGAAAATGTGAAACACTACGCCAAAAACAAGTTTTAACAGCGCCTCTACTAAAGCGCTTATTGAAAAAGCGCTGCCATAGCCTTCACAAAAAACAAAATTAAAAAAAAGGGAAACCTACGAAGGCGCTTTTTTAAAAGCGCTGGCATAGGGTTCCCTACCAAAGCGCTTTTCAGAAAGCGCTTTCATAGGTATTTGAAATATCTAACCTACGAAAGCGCTTTTGAAAAGCGCTTTGGTAGGGAACCCTATGCCAGCGCTTTTGAAAAGCGCTTTGAAAGGGGGACCTACGAAAGCGCTTTTTACCTCAGAAGCGCTTTGAAAGGGGGACCTATGCCAGCGCTTTTTAAAAGCGCTTTCGTAGGTTGTTTTTATAATAAAATTAAAAATCCCTAAATCTTCTTCATTTCTTTCGTTCAGAGCTTCTTCATTTCTTCATTTCTGCCGTCGCCGCCGTTCGTTCCTTCCTCTTCAGTCGCCGTCGCCGCCCTTCGTTCCTTCCTCTTCAGTCGTCGTCGCCGCCGTTCGTTCCTTCCTCTTCAGTCGTCGCCGCCGCCGGTCATTCCGTCTTCTCCACCTTGGTAAGATTATTTGCTTTTATTACATTGTTAATGCTGTTCAAATACATAACTAAATATGTTTTTGTAATATAGTTAATTATGTTTAATGAATATTATGTATTTGAACATTGTTAACCATATAACAAAAGATGAACAATGTATACTGTGTGATGACAAAACCAAATGGGGCTCTTCTACCTAAATTTGCAATGTTGAGCAATTTGAAACTTGGCTTTGTTAGTGTTGAAGTTTTGTTGGGCTTAATTCAAAACGCTCCTGCTCTCAATACTCACTTTTCAAGGTTGGTAATTAGCGTTTTTTAAATTTATTTATTATGCTTTGACCTTTATATCATGTCATATTTAGACTTCGTGTGATTACAAATGATTAGGGAATATTGAAATTCAACCATGAGCTTCTTAACTCTGCTGCTGTGCCAGATTGTTTGACATCCAGTCTCCAAGTTGTGAAATTTGGATATGTCCGTGGATACGAGCATGAGCTTTTATTAGCTAAATATTTAACAACCTATTCAAGCTCTCTTCATCCTTCGTCGTCCTCTCTTCATCAAACTGTAATTTACATTCAGGTGTTGTTTCTTTCCCATTCAATTTCATCTCAACATTGATTCATCATCACCCACTCTAACTACTTTACTTTATTACATTAATTAGGGTTTCGTTCTCAAAGTTTCTTGTTATTACAAAACCCTTCAACAGTTAGCAAGAACGAAACCCAAGGGATTTTGAAGGTTGGCTGTTACTTGTTAGAGGAAAGATCTAAAAGTTCATTTCACTTTTTCCATTTCTTTGGTTTGAGGTAAGAATTCTTACTCATTTTTCTTAGTTTTAGATATTGCATATTAACTGTTTGTGAAATGTTCTACATGATTGTTCCTAATTAAGGGTATGTTAGAGGGTTAGGAAAATGAAGTTGGATTTACGGGTCCTAATTTTAGGTGTATCCAACTTAGAGGAGAGAGTAGAATTCAGACCATCCTATTATGCATGTCTTGCTTCAAAAAAAACATGTTTATGCAAAATCATATTTTAGCTCTTTTTAAGAAACTAGCAAAGGGGAGGGTTGTTTATCAAGTGGCTCAATTAGAAGTTTCAACTCTATGACGGATTTAGAGGTGTATCGGTGTAACAATCATATTCTGAAGAATGCCAATTCAAATGTTAGCAGAACCATTTGGGAGTCCATTACTAGATTGGGGGGAGCAAGTATATTAATTGAATGGTTTAGATTTTATTCTTATAGATAATCATGGGGTGACATTAATCTTCTAGTGAAAGAAAGGAGTAAGGTGATTGGTAATCTCTGGAACAATCTGGATATGAAGAAAATCATGTTAAGGCTCAAGTCAAGACAGTTGTGGCTGGAAAAGGAGATAAGAATTATCGATTCTTCCATAACTCCATGAAGTCCAGGATTAGATGTAATTCTATATCTATGTTGGAGGGGAATGAGGGTAGAGTGGAAGGTGCAAATGATATTAAAGAGGCAATCAAAGTGAATTTTGAGGACTTCTTCAAAGAAACCAAGTTTAATAGATCAGTCCATGAGGATTTAGAATTCAAGAAGTTTAATGCTCATGATAGGAGTTGGTTAGAAATACCTTCACCGTAGAAAAAGTTAAGGAGGTAGTATGGTCCTATGATGGATATAAAAGTGCAGACCCTGGTGATTTCTCGTTAGAGTTTTTTAAACAAAGTTGGGATGCTATTAAGGAGGATGTGTTCAGGTTTGTTTCAGATTTTCACTCTATTGATAAGTTAACCAAAGCTTGTACTACATCTTTCTTGACGCACATCCCAAAGCTAAAAAATCTGCAATCTCTTTCCAAATTCAGACCTATATGTCTTGTTGGTAGCCTTTTTGTCGAGTTTCATAATTAAGCTCAAGACAGAATGTGGATTCCAATTTACCGCAAAATTAGAGGGCATGTTAACTGACATGAAAACCTCTTTAGACACAATGCAGGGCTTTTATGCCCGCCACCCTGAGTTAGGTGATGGTCCTACACTTACTGTGCAGGTTCTAACGACAGGGTCTTGGCCATCTCTTTCTAGTGTGGCATGTAACCTTCCAGTGGAAATGTTGGAACTTTGCGAGAAATTTCAGTCATATTACCTCGGCATTCATACTGGCAGGAGATTGACATGGCAAACTAATATGGGCACAGCAGACTTAAAAGCTACTTTTGGGAAAGGTCAAAGACACGAGTTACACGTCTCAACCTATCAAATGTGTGTTCTCATGCTGTTTAATGATGCCGATAGACTAAGCTACAACGAAATTGAGCAGGTGACTGAGATTCCAGCTTCCGATTTGAAGAGGTGTCTGCAATCTTTGGCTCTGGTTAAGGGAAGAAATGTCCTTAGGAAGGAGCCTATGACTAAAGATGTCAGTGAGGATGATGCATTCTTTTTTAATGACAACTTCAGTAGCAAACTGTATAAGGTAAAAATAGGAACTGTAGTTGCAACAAAGGAATCAGAACCAGAGAAACTAGAAACTCGACAAAAAGTACAAGAGGACCGGAAGTTGCAAATTGACTCGGCAATAGTAAGGATTATGAAAGCTAGGAAGCAACTTGATCATAATAATCTTATAGCTGAGGTCACAAAGCTGTTACAGTCACGATTCCTTGCAAATGTAACTGATGTAAAGAAACGGATTGAGTCTCTTATTGAGCGGGAATTTATGGAGAGAGATAATAGAGACAGAAAGCTTGTTTTATATAGATACTTCAAAGGTTTTAAAGGAAATTCGAAGCATTCAAAGCAACTTTCTATGGTGTGGCTGCGATAGCAAGAGGCCTATCTAGTAGGTTAGTTGGAAAACAGTTTGCAGCAATCATAAATTTTAAGGCTTGCTTAACCCCTGATTATTACAGCAACCAAACATTTGGAAAACAGTTGGAAAACAGTTTACAAACATTTACAAAACAGTTGGAAAACAGTTTACAGCAAAAAGAAATAGAGACAAAAATGAGAGTATGAATGAAACATGAATCAGACCTTAACAATAACATGGTTAGAAATGGGTTGTTGTGAACTTGAAAAGGGTGTTTTCAGTCTTTTAGACCCCATTGGTTTCACAGGTATAGAACTGTTGGAACTGAAACGCTTCTGAATACTACAAAACTTAATAGATTAGGAGATGTTATCAATCACTTATACTTGGACTCAGTTAACACTAGTGGTAGTGGAAATTGGAACACAAAGAAACTCAATAGCCTTTAAGCATGCACCTGTAATTGAACCCAAAGATATGTTCAATAGCCTTTAACCATGCATGTAGATTTTTCTCAGAAATAAAATTACATGAAAACCAACCAGTGATGGTGTGGTTCCTGTATTGCTGCAAGATAAAAATATCAGCAAAAACCTTGAAGTGGTATAAGATACTTTAAAGGGGTCAAGTTGAAGGGTAGACAAAACAAAATAATTACTATGTGATATTTGATTGGTTATTGTAGCTCCAAAAAAAGGAAAAGTTGTTCACAATGATAAATATTGATAACATAGTTGCATACCTATCAAGTCCAGATTTAGTGTCATAGAGCTGCATCGTTGCATACCTAAATAGAGCAATGTGTAATAAAGTAATACCTTTGAATAGTATGAATAGTTAGCCACAATGAAAAGATCCAATGACTCAAGACACAACTGGAAGCCTAAAATAAAGAAGCATCATTGTGAGCCTTATGACACAAAATCTTGTTATAATCAAATTTGAAGCATGAAAAGCCAATTTCAATGATTCAAGGCTGACATATAATCACACCTGCAAGTTTAGATAGATATTTATACAGGAAAAACAAAACTCATATGTAAGGGAAAATCTGTGGGACTAGTTATACAAACAACTGCAATCAGATGTATTAATCACTTTAGTTAAACAAAAACATCTGATTATTACAAAACATCTTTCATACTTTAAGGCTTGAACTTCCTGTATGGTCTGCCGTTATCTTCATCTTGCATATGCTGTAATCATAAATTAAAAAAGTCATGTCTAGGTGCAAAGAAAATCAAGATGAATTGAAAACTATAGAGCGTCATTTAACAATTAACAATACATTGCTTTTAAAATTTGATTTGAACCTAACTAAGACTTGACAAAGCTAACTTGTAAGATAAGGACTGAATATAATTGTTTGAAATCCGACTTCACTATTGTTTGAATATAATTGTTATTACCTGTATCCAAGACTGAATCACTAGTATCCGACTTCACTAGTTAGTAATTAGTGATGAGTTGTTTAGCACATGCTTAAGGTGAGGCAAGAATAACTATGAATTTGATTACCTGATATGTTGAATTTCTTTACAGGTAATTAATTATTATTTTGCTATAGTTGCGTGACTAATTAGTTGCTATAGTCAAACCATGGATAAAAAATGGATGACTGCCAATCGATTGTCGAAAGAGTATGAGGATGGGGTATCAGAATTCGTTAAGTTTGCCGTTGCGCACGCCAGAGAACCCAATGGAATGATATGTCCTTGCTTGAGATGCTGTTATGGGAGACGGGTTGACGCGGTTCAGTTGGAATCGCATTTACTGATGCATGGAATTGATAGAAGTTATGCATGTTGGAATTTGCATGGTGAGAAAAGTAGCGGGAATGTTGAATCGAGTTATAATACGACGTATGCTTCAAATGAGGATTTCGCAGACGCATACGATTATGATCGAGTCGAAGAGATTGCAGAAGCGCTTGAAGAAGATCTTGAGGATTGTCCCAAAATGTTCGAGAGGTTGGTAAGCGATGCAGAGAAACCGTTGTATGATGGTTGTACAAAATTCACAAGATTGTCTGCGGTGTTAAAGTTGTACAACTTAAAGGCGGACAACGGATGGTCGGATAAAAGTTTCACACAGTTATTAGCCCTCGTGAAAGAAATGCTACCAGAGGATAATGTTCTTCCCAATCGAACGTATGAGGCCAAAAAGATGTTGTCCTCTATTGGCATGAGCTATGAAAAGATACATGCATGTCCAAAAGATTGCGTTTTATTTCGAAACGAGTACGCAGTGTTAAATGAGTGTCCTAAATGCGGTGCCCCTCGATATAAGGAAAAGTTGTCTCCGGAAAAGGTGTTATGGTATTTTCCTATAATTCCGAGATTTAGGCGCATGTATCGTAGTGAGACCGAGTCAAGACACTTGACTTGGCATGCAGATGAAAGAATTATTGATGGGAAGTTGCGACATCCGGCAGACTCACCACAGTGGACGAAAGTTGATATTGATTATCCTGAATTTGGAAAAGAAGCAAGAAATCTTCGCTTGTCGTTGTCTACTGATGGAATGAACCCGCATGGTATTCAAAGTATCTCGCATAGCACCTGGCCTGTGATTCTTATGATATATAACCTACCTCCGTGGCTATGTATGAAGCGTAAGTACATGATGCTATCTATGTTAATTTCTGGGCCCAAACAACCAGGGAATGACATAGACGTGTACTTGGCACCCTTAGTCGAAGATTTGAAGTTTTTGTGGGAGACCGGTGTGGAGGTTTACGATGGGTATAGGAAAGAAAGTTTCAACTTGAGGGCGATGTTGTTTGGAACAATTAATGATTTTCCGGCGTACGGAAATCTATCAGGGTACAGCATTAAGGGTCAAAAAGCGTGTCCTGTTTGTGAAGATGAAACCGATACGATGCGATTGAACTTTTGTCAGAAGAATGTTTTTCTCGGTCATCGTAGATTCTTAAATTCTAATCATC